GGGGACCGGGGCGGGCGGCGCTCGGGAAACACCCGGGCGTGGGGCATGGAGAGGCGCCTGCTGCTGCGTCCCACTTCAGGGGGTGGGGAAAAAAAATGCTGCTACCGTTTCTAGAAACGCTGCCGAAGTTGTGTGTTCTTGTTCTGAAGGATATTCTTCCCGGTCGGCAGCGTTAAAACGGCTTTTCCCGCCTTGCCGTGGCACCGCTGGCGCTTTAAAATTGAAACGGCGTAACCAGGTCATCAGAGAGAAAAGCCAGATGTTCGCAAATGCTGAATGTCTTAAAACGCTGCCAGAAGTCTCATCTCAATTTTATGTAGCTTCGCGGTGATGCGTTACAAGAACTTTGAATTTTTATAAGGATTTACTTCTCAACATTTATCGCTGAGGTACAGTTAAAATTCATGGTGGTTTTTGCCTTCATCAGATTTCCCTTTGTTTTTAAGGCCTTACATGTCATAACAGTTACATGCAATCTCCATAACTACTCTAGCACTGCTACTTTTTAAATTTTTTTTCATATTTGCCAGGTGATCAATCCATGCCCTTGCACGCACTAAACAGCAAGAGGTGCTATAGCCACATGGATCTCACCCAACAGTAAATTCCCAATCAACTATGGTGCTAGCAACCTTTTAGTTTCCCATATCCAACTCTATCTATTGCCTGCTAAGAGTTTCTCTAGAATAATAACACCTGAGGAATATTTGTAGGTGCTCTTCTTGCACTAGTTTAGTGCATTGTCCTTTTCGTGCATATTTAGATGTCAAATACTACAAAAATAAATTATTTTCTGTGTTGGAGCCATGCTACTCTGAAGTTAAGATTACGGCTGCCAAACCACTTCAGCAAATAAAAGGGACAACATTAAAAATGCAAAAACTTTCCTCCTGGGAAAATAAATCCTTTCTCTGACCTTGCACTTCCATTTTAGAATGAGAACTGGAAGGATAAACTGGAAACAAAAGGGAGACTTCACATGCTGAAAAATTTATTTGCCTGCAACTCTGTATGCTGAGATAGAATCATAGCATCATTCAGGTTGGAAAAGGTGCTCGGGATCATCGAGTCCAACAAAAGAAAGCAATCTGTTTTAGATGCAGAATCATTTCAATTTTTAACTGCCATATTGTCAAGTAAGTAAAATCATGAACAAAAATGAGGAAGGACATAATTGTAGCAACAAATATTAAGACCAAACAATAAGCCAGGCTATTAACTTATCAGAAGCTCTGTAGAATTTGCATCAGATCGCAGAAGTAAGAGTTTCAACAGCTAAAAGCAATACTGCTATGGTATTTCTTATAAGGTGCAATTCCTTGAGTGGTGCGTTGGCACTCTCCCTTTTTCTGTTTACATTTTATCACTGATTTGATCATGTGGAATTTAGAAAATTGCAGGATTAACTGCTTTCAGGAATTTGAATTCTGGTGGCACACAGTGACCACAGCAGGACTGGAGTTCTACAAGCTATGGCACTTGAAAAAAGCAGGTCTGGGAAGACGCTTTTGATTGGGATTACAGACAGCTTTCATAACCAAAATGTAAGAAGGAAGAGATTTACCCCACTTTGGAGTATGCGGCAAAATTTGCAAGATACAAAATCTGGACATTTGCAGGAAGCAATCTTAGATTAAATTTCAAGTGCTGACAAAGGATCTTCCTATGATTTTCATCAGGAACCTCTGGAACACCAAGCAGTGAGTTTTACTGAGTTTATATGAAAGTTCACCCTGTTACACAGATGAAAATCACAGAATGTCAGGGGTTGGAAGGGACCTTGAAAGATCATCTAGTCCAACCCCCCTGCCAGAGCAGGATTCCCTAGGGCAGGCACACAGGAACGCATCCAGGCAGGTTTTGAATTTCTCCAGAGAAGGAGACATTTCATTGTTTTCATTATTTCCTTACTAGGACTATTACTGTTTATTAAAAGACAGGGAGTTCCTCTTTTTCAGGTATAAATTTCAGAACATTAGAGCACAATGTCTGCATGGCTTCCATGTCTCTGATGAAGCCAAAACTTCATGAGTTCAATCTACAGATTCCCACACGTCATTCTAAAGATCCTCCTCAAAATAGACCCATGTTACTCCTTTTGATACGTATTTGATTTTCTCTATTTCCCCACCACTATTGCTAGGCTTCTGAAAATGAATTTCAATCATGTCCTGTATGCTTTCCTCGTCATCATCCATGTCTTGAATTCCTTGCAACAGGATGGTCTTCTTCGAAACGCTGCAATAGAGCTATTGAAGAAAGAAAAACAAAATGCATTAGACATCGGCTGTTGCGCCTACATCTAAAGGAACTGACAGATGCTGGAAATAAGCACACCCTTGGTCAGATACAGCCAGGATGTTCACTTATTTTTAAGACAGCGTGGTAAGTTTGTGTCACGGAAAAGAGCAGGACTTCTGAGCTCTTATCAAACAATGCCCAGTTCAACAGGCAACACTCCCGCCCTGCTTAACTGGTGTGTCCTACGCTCCTCAGTGCACACACATGCTGGATTTGGGGATCTCTGATGACTCTAGACAGCACTGCTCTGTAAAAATCCATGCTGATGCATGACACACACCTGCAGAGAATGCTGTGGCATCTATCTCAAAAACACACACGCTCTCGTCAATGCTTTAATTATAAAGGCCTGATTATATACACAATACTGACTTGATTACCATCTAGTCACACAAAGTAACAGCAAGAACATGATGAGCAAGCGGACTAGTGTGTCAGGAGAAGTCGTTCTTTGGGTTGAATGAAGGGATGAAAAAAGTGAACAAGCACATGTTTCACAGAGCAAGAGTCTCTGCTGAGAGTATCAGCAGGGCCCGTCAGCAGGGATGAATACGATGGCACTTTGTGACTTGGAAAAACGTCATCGCGTCTACTCTTAACCTACTTCACAAACAATTTGGTATCTGCCTCCTGTCTAGCGCAGACATTACGGTAAGTAACAATATAATTTGATCAAGCAAAGACATGCACACCCTTTTAAAATAAATTATAGCTTTCACACTGCAAACCACAAGATTATCAGCAGAGCAGCAGATTGCAGCCTCTACTGTGCAAAGTGCATGACACAAAAGCTCCCGCGGGCCTCAGAACTGAAAATTCTGCCTGCATCTCCTGTGTCCCACGTATCTGTGCTATTTAGGGGTTAGCCTGGACTAGAGTCTTTTACCTGGAACTTTTGCAAGCGTACGTCAGTGTCTGGGGAAACAGAAAGCCTATAGCACTTTCCATTTACAAGGAAAGGATACTTAGTACATCCCACGAAGCTGTTGGTTGCTGTAATGGAGAAGGAGAAAGAGAGGAGTAAAGAGTAATATAATCTAAAATGCATTTTGTAAGCATGTCAAAGAACACACCCATCTTTCTTATATGGACTTAGAAAACTAGTATACGATAGCACACTTGTAGATTCTCCATATGCATTTTGCCAAAAAGTTTGTCTGTCATTTCCAAAACAGCAAATCATTAAATACCCACAAAAGCTTCTGCAATAAATCTAAAGCAGCTGCTCTTAAGTGGATGTGGCTCCACTGCTCTTCATAGAATTTCATACAGTTGGGCAATCTGAATGCCCATCCAACCTCATTGCCATGAAACACGAGCTAAAATCAAACACATCTCCCTCATCTTCCTTTTGCAACAGAAGTATCTAGCAACGCAAAGAAAAAATAGGGTTTTGATGAAGAAAGCAAGGAAGCTCGCAAACTGCATCCTAGGTCATGATAGATCCAAAAGGAATACGATGAAATACTGCTTTATTTACGGACGCGTGGGTGAACCCACATCTTATCCTGATCTACTTAACTCTCCACGGTATGAATTTGCTAGGTTCAGTGGTTAAGCTAACACAGAATGTTAACGTGGAATGGAATTTTAACACAGAATGGGCAACGTAGCCTGTACATCCAGCTAACAAAAGCCTTACGATACCTCCGGGCTTGAGGAACGTAATAAGAGCCGTTTGAGACTGCTTGTCATAGCTCACGTTTTCTACTTCTCCTCCTCCTCCTCCCCGTCCAGACTTGTAGAAATTCAGCTCTAATTTGTCTTTCATCCAGTCTTCAGGAATGGATAGCTTGGGTACTCCCGAAATGTTTATCGTCTTTCCAGAAATAGTGACATGGAGCTAAAAAAATAATATTTTTGTGCACTTTGTGATTGAAAACACCCCAAAACATGAACCTAATGCTTTTTAAGTACTGCGGGTTCATATCTTTATAGTTTCATATTTCAGCTGATTACCTCAAATTTGATTCCCATTTCAAGTGTAAAAGGCTTCACTGTCACATCTGCTATTTTGTTGTCCACGTTCACAGTATGCTTACCCATTTTAATCAGTCTCTGGGCAACTAAAGAAAATCACAAGTTTTCAGACATGAAAAGCTTTGCTTTAATCATTATAAACCCCAAACTATTCCCCAGACGCTTAAGCAGAATCTCCTTTTGCATCAGTAAAGGAGAAATAAGTAACAGTTAGGCAACCAGATCCCACTATCCATGTCTTCAGGCATGTCTATTTCCATAAAATCTCACTGGTTACAGGCAACAGGTAAAATATTACACCTTTTTTAGAGCAACAGAGAACAGTAGAATCTTTACACCGTCAAAAAGCATTCTCACTATATCAAATATTAACACTTCTCATGTTTCATTTAAAAGATCCTTGGATGAAAACCACATCACTACCACACGCAGCGAATGCCTCTGTTGGATTTTGACTGGAAGAAACAAAGCGCTGGCTTTGTACCTGGGATAAACCTGTGTAGCTGAGTTACCCACCCAGCAGGCCCAGCTCACATCTAGCCAGTACACGTAACCAATGTAACCGCTCTCAGAACAAGGTACTGCCTGGAGTAAAGAAAATAATCGAATTCTGCTGTCAAAACATTTTGAATCACTCTCTGTGAGGTAGAAACATGTCCCCAATTTCCAACACCGAGTATTGTTTGTATTAGCTACGAGCAGAAAGCTGGTAATCCAACAAAAACATGCAGAGAGCTTGCGAGAATTTTCTTCTCCTGATTGGTATCGTAATGGTGAAGTGTTCTCTGTGCATTTTGTCTTTGGCTGTTTTTTGTCCCAAAATGTTTTTGTAAATTTTTTCCCTTTGGCAAGCAAATGCACCAGAGACATTGATTTTTATACTTAAAATACGCATCATACCTTCTTCGTCTTCAAAAGTAAGCAGCGCCTGGTTTTGATTCAGTCTGAATGGGATCTTTGTAGTCACACCAAAAAGACAGTGGGTGTTCACATCTAAACAATCATCCTTCACCTCTTCCATGTAAGTGAACTTCATTTTCATTTCTGCTACTTTTTTCTTAATCTAATATTTTAGAATCAATATACAAGAAAAAAAAAATCCATAACTTATGGTAGAATAGAAAAATGAATGGTAGTCTCTCCTAAAAGTGCTACATATATTTTGACCTTACACAGTAAAAATTCACGTGGAAGTCCACAGGCATTTCCACCTGCAGAAGCAGAATAATTTTGGTACCTAAAATGTGCAAAATGCAAGTATCAGAGTCACTTGTCTTGCCATTTATTTTTGCCTAACTGCATGAATGTTCTACAGCAATGGGAAGTTTGCTAATAAACAGCCCAGTATGGTGCCATCTTTGTAAAAAAGGTAAGAATATCCAAGTATTTCACAATTAGGTTAGATTAAAACTGTTCATGGAAATGTTGAGGAAAGGCTGCTCTGACAGATTTGAGGGACTCACAGGCTTTTCCCCTTTCTGTAACCAATTCAAAATAAAACCCTGCGAAGAAGAAAAATACAGTTTACGTCAAGATAAAATAACCAGAGTATTAAAGCGCTCCTGCCACCTGTCTTCAAAACTAGCACCTTATCTGTGAGCCTGCTTGCTTTCCATTCCCTCTGCTGCCAATGGAGAGACACTCTTCCTGAAGGTAATTCAGACCCTGGGTGTAGCCCCTGCTCCCATGGAATCTCCTTCTAGAGGAGCCTTGCCCTCTCCAATGATCACGCAGGAAATTTAGGAGGCTGGGCTTAAGTGACATCTCCTGAACTCAGAAATGCTATTTAGAAAGCTAAAACTAATGTTTTAACATTGTTAACGTTAAACAAGGTAACGCCTGAGGAGTTTCAGTGTCCCTACAAACAAAAAACTGGTTGCAGTTTTTGTTTTGCTGTCAATTCCCCAAAATATTTGAGTTTGTTCCAATCTGGAATTAAAACAAGTTTTTAAAAGCTGGAATTTCCACAAGAGAAGTTCTAACTTCTCCATACCTCAGAATGGGCAGCAGTTTCACCAAAAGACTCTTCGGATCTTGAGTTTAAATCTGTTTGTTATCACTAATATTTATCTGGCTGCAAATTGAGTTATTTCTGATTTGGAGTAACATGAGCGAGACTACAATCAAGCCAAGCACAATACAGGCTAAAATGAATGCTACGTTCACTGTATAATGGACTTATTCCCTTTCTTCCATGCTCTTACTCAAGAAATATAAAATTAGAGACCTTGAAAATGACTAATGCTATATCTGTTTTTTAATTCCAGTGCCTTCCATTTAATAATTTTCTGCTTTTTTTCACTCATGTTTTTCAGTATCTCACATACTTGTATTTGTTTTCATATCCTTAGCCTGCCTCGCATTATGTTGCCAGGTAAAGTAAGGAAACAAAACTTCAAGCTATATTTTATATTAAAATTTGTAGAGGCTCAAGTGCCGAACAACTGGACCCAACAATTTGGAACTGACAAAACAAAAATATGCCCTTCCAGGAGAAAATGTGAAAAATTTTTCATATTTTACCTGAGTATCCCGTGAAAGTCTTGAAGTACATTCTGTGAGATCTTCTTTGAGCTTTTCAATCTCTCTCTCCAGCTTGAAGATTTCTTGGTTTAGTGCACAGAGTTCTTGCTACAGCCCAAAAAGTATTAAATGCAAAATTAAACACGTAGAAGACAAAAATGTATTTCAGCAAAATCTCTAGACGTTAGAAACTGTTTCAACTTTTAATGACAGGACTGCCAGGCACAATACATTTTTTGCATAGCTTTAACTCCCCGTGAGGTAAAATCACTCACCGAGGAGCAGTTTCAGTTAAACTAAAATAAAGCAAGAGGGTTTTTGAAGAGACATGAGTGTTTCCAAGCACCTACAGTGAGTCACACAGCACTTTCCAAAGTTATGTTAGCTCCTTTACCTGTGTGAGGTCAGAGCCTATAACAACACACCAACATTTTATTTTCTCTTCCATGTGTGATCTTAGGAACTGTTACTCCCTTTTCTGGAAAGTTTACCAGGTGAGGACGGTTTCTGACACACCATTACTCTTCCCTCTTTGTGCCTCTTCAGCAAGGAAGAGCCTCTTCTACCTCCTACATACTTCCTCCTCCCAATGAATCCTAAATATAACCTAAATATTTCCTGGACAAGGAACACAACAGAATGAGAAGGAAACACCGCAGATGTAGTTGGCTCCAGCCATCCACAATTAGAAGACAATTGTTTTAAAGTCATTAACCACTCGAGACGTTTAGACCAGTTCCCATCATCTGATGATAATGTCAAACAAAAAGCCAGATGACGAGAATGACCTCTTCTGGGTACAATGTCCAAGCGTTTATGATCGGAGAATCAACACCAGCTTTTGGAAAATCTCACGCCAACTTGAATGTACTTAACCTATTCACTGTATTTTCATAGCTTGTAATATTGAAGCCATCATTTCTCATCAGTGATTTACAGGCCAACCCAAATTTCATTGAAACCACCTCCACAACAGCCTACGGAAACTCACGCTATTACTGCACAACGACTGCATGTGGCACATTGAATTAATAAACCAATTACCTTTAGAAAGAAAAGCCCTCTTGAAATGTGTTCTGGCTAATCCCTTGGGTGCTGTAACATCTTATAAGATGAGCTGGGAGTTGACAAAACAGTGGAAGCAACCCATTCAACTTTATCTGCATCACATGAAACTGAAACTCATCTGTTAGTGGGGAATCTTGGAAGAGGAGGACTGGTTTTGTCAGTTTTCATCTTCTATGCAAAACAGGTCTCAGTTTTGCTTTCACTCTTCCAACATCACTGGTTCTTGACTTGCCACTGAAAGCTACATGTAGAACATTCTAGTGCAAATCAGTAAGGCCATTTAAACCAAAACGGCAATATTACTCTTATTTTCTACAATCAACACCTCCTTAGTAACTACCCAAACACTACCAGCTCTGAGTAAGCCTCCACCATACCTCATGGGTGTCTCTAGACATAATAAAGCTCTTCTGCTGTTTCTCTTGTAAGTCCTTTAGCTTTAGCAGCTCCTCCTCTGCTCTAATACACTCTTCATCAGCACTCAATTTACAGCAAAGAAGGTCAGCTTTTGTTTTTTCAGCTTTTTCAACTCTTTCCTGGATATTAAAAAGAAAAAGATTTAATTTTTTTTTTCTTCCATGGAAACAAACAAAACCTTAAGTAAACCCTTTATATTTATTTATTATTTGCAACACTCTGGATAAATATTTTTCTTCGACTTCCAAGTGTCGTCACCACTGAGATCAACACAAGCATGTACCGTTGAAGAACAGAGAACAAGTTGGAAAAACACGTTATAACTGGGGGAGAGTTGATTTGGTTCTAGACAGACGGACTAAAGGTCTTCCAAGTATCTTTCAGCTAGCCTCCACGATTCTATGTGTTTTACAGAACTTACCTTCCATTTCTTCAGTTCTTCTTTAAGTCCTTCCATCTCATCTTCTGGTGTGCCACAAGGGCCAGGGGTTACCATACTCTGGAGAGAAAAGAAGAGGCACGCTCAGGTTTTCCCCTCTGTTAGGCAATAGCTGGGACACATTAAACAATTCAAATGAGTCTTAAAAATAAACTAAGTAAGCCCTCTGCAGCTGGATGAAGCATTTTGCCATGGCAGTTTTTGATGTATGTCCATTAATAAAAGTATTGTGCCCGTGTGCCGATTTGCTGTTTTCCTCCAATTACACAGGCAAGACATGCGGCGAGTCAAAACATTTTGAGAGATCCATTACATTTCGTAATTAAAAATTCCTAGCATCTGCATGCTAAAGGATAGGATAGGCCACATAATTTTTTTAAGATGTATTAAGACACTTAGGCCAAATCATTGAACTATTTTAATAGCTGGACAGGACAGAAATCTTAAGAAAATGGATCCTGGCCAGTAATTATTATTTGCTAACTATCCAGCTGAAAATATTCACAGGTTAATATTTTGATAAATAACAAAAGTAAGTCGTCTCTTCTTCCACAGGGAACTATGAACCTCAAGCCCGCAAATGTCTGTCTTCGTGCTTTCTCAGCACTTCCTCTAAGAGAATGTGTAAAGAATATAAAGGTATGATGACAAAAAAATTCAAACCAAGTTGCTTCCAAGCTTAGGGAGATTAGACAATAAAAGGTAACATCAAGCAGTAGGAAGGCAATAAAAGAAGCATTTTAGAATTTTAGTACTTTAGGGCAAAAGTTCGCAAGCAACAGGAAAAATACAACTGGATAAAGCCCAAGAAGAGAGAAAATTTCCTCCGTTCTGTTTTGTTTCTATGGCTACAATATTCTGCAGAAAAGAAAAAAAAATCCAAAGAGACCTGTTGAAACAATCCCTCCCTTTTACTTCAAATTACATAAAACTTGAATGTGAACCATGAAATTTAGGCATGGAAAAGGTCTAAATTAGGTAATCTAGTCAAATCTCTTGGTAATGCTGGGTATTTCCTAAAAACAACAAAACATAACATATTTTTTTCCACTACACTGTCCAGTTTCAAACGCCTATTGAGCAACAGGGAAATCCTCATCTGCGTATAACTTAAAATCGGAAAAAAAATTCCTTCGTTTAAGGGCTTGAAAGTAGAATGATGCACGCGCCACAGCTGGAAGCTGCCAAGAAAGGATGCCTTTTTTTTTCACTGAAAAATGGTCTGAGACAACCCTTTTCAGCCTGAAAGAAGAAAAATAACAAAGAAGCTGCAAGAAATCCCAAGGAAAGTCCCATCTAAACTAATTGCCACACTGCAGGAACTCAATCAAGGGAGGCAGCAGGAAAAGGGGAATTCCCCTAAGAAACTTCCACAGAGACAGATGAACAGGTGAGGTAGGACAGGAAAATTCTAATAGAATCTGTAATGCAGACATTTTGGAATGGGATTCTCCCTATGGAAAGAGAGGCAGGAATGAGGAATATTAGAAGTATTAAAAGACAGAAGGCGGCAAGACAAGGAGTTTCAGAAGCACTGTCCTAGCAGTCCTAGAACAAACCTTCATTTGGAGATACTGCTGTCAAATAGATTTTTTTTTCCAGGCCACACATCAGGAAATACTTACAAAACCATTATCTTTCAAAGATAGCGGGGGACTTGTCAAATCCATCAAAACCTGAGAAAACAGGAAAAGAAATGACAGCCTTGTGTGTATTCCCTTTTATTTTTTTTCAACAGCAGCACAATAGAATGCCAGAAAGGAATACCAGAAGTTGTACTGAGCTAAAAGAATTTTTAAATGTAAATGTTGTTTCCTAGGCAAAAGGGAAAGGTATTGGATATCTGAAGCCTCATTCTTTACTAAGCATAAAAGCCAGCGACCTGTGTGAGGAATTCTGCGCTGCACAACTTAATTTTTCTGTCCTCAAACTTAGGTAATTACCTTTGTGCTACTTTTGTACTCACGTGCTTAAAATCCTGTATGCTCTCTGCTTAAGGGATATAACCCCTAAACCTGCTTTACACAAATGAAAACAGCAGATAATGTAAAACGTGTGGAAGCTGCTGCCATGATGTTTTGTGGAGGGCGAGATAAAAAGGAATTTAGATAAGTTTGTGGGCCGTTAATCCAGAAGTGGCTGCTGAGGCACACGCATTCCTGAGCAAATCTCACCTATGAATGCCGGGACAGCACAAGGGCTTCGTACCTCGGGTTTGACACTCTCTAAGCAGTGTCCTCTAGCATTTGGGGTCCTGAGTCGCAGGCAGCGACTAGGGGTGGTCTCCCTAGGGCAGAGCAGAGGGGCAAGAGAACCTCCC